GTTCGTTGTCCAAATCATTTAAAAACCTTGGTACGGAGGAAATGCATTTTGAGGAGAGAGGGGTTGTTACTTGTTAGTTTGTTACATACTACGGGTATCCTGAATTCAGCTGTTTGGGCCCAAATTTTTATGGTAAAGAATGAATTGCAGACTAACGAATCTATGCCTCTAGCTCGCAGCTCGTGGTACTTGTGGAATTGTAAATTCTAAGACGGTGGGTTTTAGCAAAAACATAATTCATTTCCTGTTCTGTCCAACCCAATGATCAAAAACAATCCTAATCTTGAATTGGGGCTCACTATCTGATGACACGTGGTGACTAAAGATTGGATCGAATACCTTTAATATTTTATAATAGTAATAATAGATAAATATAAATAAAAAATTCATTAAAAAAGAAACAGATAAATATAAGAAAAATGAACCCAATCAATGAATCAAATTTCGAATAGTGTACGGAATATTCTTATCTCTTAAGGGTACAAAGTCAAAACTCCTTGCGACCCGAGTCTTGAGCTTCATATAGACATGCTTTCGTTGTTAGAAGCTTATCCAGAATAAGTGGGAAGAATGAAAAAGAAATCGTATATTCTAGAACACCCTCGATAATTTTATTGATTTATTTAAACTTATTTTATATTTTTCATTTTACTAAAACAGTTATTATAATTTTCAACTTACTATTATTTTTAACATTATCATTTAAACTGAATGAAACAAACTATATGATAGGTTTTATTAAATTTATGAAATTATTTGGATTGTTTTAGTAGATGACCCTATATTTTAGGGTAAATTGGTAAAATCTCCTGAAGTTTTGGACCGTTGCTAAAACTTCTTCTAAAGTTTGTTAGTTGCAATCACTTCTCCTTAATTTTTTGACTCAGTTGCAAATAGACTCTTTCTATTAGAAGCCTCTAAAAAGAAACATAAAAATATCTATAAAGTTGCTATTGAATGTGGTTTCTAGAGAAAAAACAATACAAACTTTATAAAAATAAAAAAAAAAAGAAAATTTAAAGTTGCAGCTTCACCTTTGAGTAATTGATATGAAAGGTGAATTTGGAAAGCAAATCAATTTTTGAAAAAGAAATTGAAAGGGATTAGGGCAGCGATTTATAGAAAAAAGAATTTATCAAATAATCATTTTGATCAAAAGTAACTGAATAAGAATTTTGGATATTTTCATATATCTTTTTAGAGAATTCTAACAAAAGCAATCTACTTGCAATTATGAGAGAAAATTTAGGGAAAGTGATTGCAATTACCAAACTTAAGGGGAGGTTTCAACAACATCCATACACTACATTCCAGGTTTCAGCAATTTACCCCCATGGTTTTCAAAACTAGACTAGACCGGATAGTCGGACCAGAAAAACCGTGAACCAGTCAGGTGTCCGGTTCTATTTTTTCCTAAAAACGGATTTTTTTTACAAAAAACTATTGATTTGGTCAGCAAACCGCTGACCGGAGCGGTTGAACCCTTAGAATTATTTGAATTGTTCAATAGTTTTGACTGTTTTTTATTTTTTTATTAAAATGAACTGACTATTCGATTCGAACGATCAGAATGTTTGACCCGAGAACCGGACCCTGACCGGTTCGGTCTCCGAATTGGTTTTAAAAACGTTGATTTACCCTATAAAAGTAATATCTGATTCCTGTAATGAACGACATTAAAACCTAAACTGTCCACTAGTAACACGTAATGGCCACTTTAGTCATTAATTAATTAGGGACGTGAATTTTTAGAGTAAAAGTAACAGGAATAAGTTATTCAAGTAGCGCTGTAGCGGAATAGCCTCACTCACTCATTCGTGTGGTTGTCAGAGTTGACTCACATGCAAAAAAGGAAGAATAATAAATTGCCGATCGATTGCTCGTTCAAACCAATCCATTATGTCATGGATGATGTATTGTTGTATTTATATTGCATGTCAAAAACGCAATTAATATTTTGGGCCTGGCGATTCGCCCCGTAACCAGAAACCTTGATTACATCATACAACACTACTTAGAAAGAAGAATAGAGTTTTGATTAATTAAAATTCATGAATTTTGATAAATAATATTATGTTTCCTATCACGTTTATGATTCTGGTTTATATTCGTCAATTGTTTTTTTTGGATATCATAATTAAATTTATAAATTAAACGATATATAATAATTGATATGTTGATGCTATTAAAGTTTTTATGATAACTTTTTTTTCTAAAAGGTGAATTGATGAAAAATAAGGATTTGTTTGGGTTCTAAACATTTGATTGGATGGAGCCCAAAATCTGATTCCCATTCCACCAGATAGTTATTCCCTCTCCCTCCCTCTTAGAAATGAAAATCTATTCCAACTAATTCTGATTCTGATTTCAATTCCAATCTGACTCAAACAGGTTAAGAAAAATAGACCATTTTGAATCTGATTTTAGAGGGTTTTGATTCCAATTTGATTACAAACCAAATGGACCTTAATCAGGGGTGGAGCTAAGTATATTGGTGGGAGGTTTTTGCCCCCAAAAACTTGTTAAAACCATTATTTATATATAAGTAGAGGTGGGGTCAAATATGTAATTAAATGTCTTTGGTCCCCCAAAGCATGAAAAATTTTATTTATTTTTTCTTAAGAAAAATGTAACAGACACAAATCTTTCTGTCCCATTTCTCTTCAAAAAAAAAAAAAATTACATAACTCTGCCACTAACCCTTAAATTAAACCATGTGATATTTTTAATGTAATTAATTGTAATCATTGATTTAATATATCGAAAATATTCATAAATGTATTATCATTGGATTGGACTAGAATAAGTTAATAATATAATATATAGCACAAATTTGTCTAAATTTTTGGTCCAATATAAGAAAATCTTGGTCTAATGCCAACAATGACCCAAACCTTTTTTTTATTACACTCTCACTATATCCAATGGTCCAAGTCACTCTAAAAACCATAGATGTCTCGCTCTTTTGTTGGTGGAAAATAATACAAAGTATGTCATCCAACCATGTGACCTGTTTCGTTCTCCAATTTATTTTAATTTTCCTTTGGCTGTTGACAAAATTGCTCTGCCCATCTGAACCGGATCTCATATAGTGCATTACACGTATAAGCTGAACTGTTGAAACATTACTTGGTGGTGTTGTCATGTAAGGCCCCTTTAGTGCTCTAAAAGGAATTACGCGGCATCCATCAAAGAAGATGGACAGAGGGTATCTGGCGCATTCTGATTATATATTTCTAGTCTTATTGCATTAGAAATTAAAAAACAATAGAGGTGAAGCTTTCTGTTATTGAGCTGGATCTGGACATTAGCATTCTTAGGAACCAAGAAATAACAGCTAGGGTATTTGACAAGCTTTTTCGTGTGGTTTTCGGGTTTTTAAAGTTTGAAAGGCCAAAATTTGGTCTTCTCTGTTGGGCAATAAAAGATGAAAAACTGGGAAGACCCGGATCTCAGAAAGCTTGAATACACCTGAAATGACACAAAATTAAGTAGTTTCCAATCTTTCTATGCCTAAAATCTTTCATTCAACAACCACATATATCACAGTAGATAAATTGCCAGTTTGGGAGGGTTTTCGGGATGTGGCTTCTAGAGTTACGAGTTGGCTCCACACTAGAAAAATATATAATATTATGTTTTAAATAATAAATAATATATTATATATGTGTAATACATATTTATTAATTTATAATATATAAAAAATATAAAATATATATAATGTACATAAATATATATAAAATATATATATAAATATATGTATATCAATCAGTTCCATTAATCATAGTTTTCTAATTTGATTAACTAAAATCGAATCAATACTTTCAAATTTTTAACATATCAAACAAAAACTGAACCGATTCGATTTACCGAATTTTCAATTTAATTTTAGTCCATTTTTTCGATTTAATTTCAATCCATACTACTCGTAATCTCGTATGTTTTTTAATACTCCCAATACGAGGGCCATATCTGATTTCCTTTAACTTAACAAGACAAAAAATCCAATTTCCTTTTATTTCAAATAAAAAAGGAAACCGTTATGTAAATTCCTAATTAAGGATTTACACATGTAATTTACACAGCTGCGATCTGCCTCTAGACTCTACAGGGGCTGGCGGTGGCGGGCCGCGGGTTGGCCCACGCCCAACTTATCTTGGCCACAATCCAAGTGAATCAAACCAGTGTCATCTGGAAGATTCTTTGTACGTTCCTTATTCCTTATAAGAAAATTATTTAAAAAATCCGAACCGAATACTCACCCATCCTATATAAAAGAGCCTCTCGATAACTTTCTTATCCTTCTTTCTCTTCGCTTCGATTCGCTTTCTACTTTCTCGCGCAATTTTCTGCCTTTTTTTGCTTTCAATCCTCCTCTTGCCTGGGTTCGCCGTCTTTCTGGCTTTCGCTTTCGCCAGAGGTTTGATCAGCTAAGTATCTTCTCTGTTCTTCCGGTATACGCTCTGCTGGTATCGATCTATCAAGACCCGGTTGCCTAGCTTGTTTGGGGTTGATCGTGCTGACTATATTCCCCTGTGAATTCTTCGCTAGGTTAGAGAAAGGCCCCGTCTCGGAATCTGGTTTTTCTCCGTTTATCGTCCGATATCAATTGGTAGGGTTTCGACGTTTTATCTCTGCATCGGCTTGCACTCCTGCTATACTTTAATCTTCGTTTATATCTTGTTGAAATTAGGCATTTAGGTAATGATCCCAATGATTTTAGGTTTCTTTCATTGGAAAAACCATCTCTAGACTTTATGAGCTACATAACTCTTCTGCGTCGTCTCCGTCTTCTCCAGTCTTTCTCAGTTGTGTTCTTGTACTGGTTTTATGCTGTCTCTTGATCTCGTTGTCTCTGCTTGATCCTACTGAATCACTCCCTGCACATAATTATTTCTCGTCAAAAGTACTGGTCCCTGTAAACACAGAATACCTAACATCCATCGAATATTGAACTCTCATTCCCATCCAAACAAAATTTTGGGAAAAATTAAGAGCGAATGTCGACGGTTAAACAAAACGTGAGCTCGGGATCCGAAGGGGATCCTAAATCCGTTCTGATCGATGACAGGAAAAGGAAAAGAATGCTTTCCAACCGAGAATCTGCGCGGCGGTCGCGGGCGAGGAAGCAGCAACACCTGGAGGATCTGACCAAACAAGTGAGCCAGCTGCAGAAAGATAACAATGAGATTACGCAGAGGATTAACGCAATCACACAACTCTACCTCCAAATCTCATCGCAGAACAATATCCTCAGGGCTCAGGAAATGGAATTGGAAGATAGATTGAATTCTCTGAAATCCGTTATCCGTGAATGCCAGTCCTTTTGCCCGGAGGCCCTGGACGCTAAGCCTTGGTCCCTCCCTTTCCAATCCGTGCCAATAATAGCTGCTGCTGCAGACATGTTTTCTTATTGAACTATTTCTCCAGCTTTGTTATTGTGGCGTGAAGATAAGAACGGGTTTTTCTTTTCTGATTTATGGATTTTTGTATTTTCGTCCCTTTCTGTTTAGTCTAGGCGTCTGTTGTTCTTCTTGGTGTCTGTATTAGATGTTAGTTCGTATGTTTGGAATTCTGTGTCTCAATTATATATTTTATGGTAGTTTTATCAATCAAATCGATTCATATTTTAATCTGCCCATTGATATCTTTCTTCCATGGATGTGAGATGGTTCAATTCTGGTTGGCCAGAGTTTCATTTCAAGCACGCTTCAGTGACGTTTGCTGGAAGTGAGACACTACAGTACGTTGAAATGGAGGGTTGATATTTCGACCTGTTGCAATGGTTCTGGGACTGAAGTTCTTTACTTTTTTTGGTAGGATTGATCTGGTTCTATTTGCTTGATCATGGCCATGCTGTTTAATATTTGCAATTGCAAATTTGTAACAGACATGAATCTAATGGTTTCCTTATTTATTTTTTCCAGCAATGCCAAATTCTAGATGAAATTAGTCACAAGTTTGTAAAGGTAGAGCTGAGTTTTCTTTTGAAATATTTTGTTTTTGATCAACATTCCAGATACGTCTCTGGTGCCATACAAATGGGTTTTTCTGGTTAGTGCAGCCATTAAAGTTAATTAGGTTATGTTTGGGAGTGATTATTTAAAAAATAAGTGGTGAGCATTTGGTGAAAAAGCATTAAAGAGGGACAGTACAAATATTTTTAAAATGATGTAGCGGGCCAAAATAGGGGTGTTCATTATACGGTTCAAACGGTAAAACCGAACTAACCTAATTGAATTTGCGGTTTGGTTTGGTTTGGTTTATACCTATAAACGGTTTGAGAATTTTTTTAAATTGCGATTTATGGTTTTAGTTTAGTTTATTGAATTTTATAAATCAAATCAAATCGTAAATCAAAATTTTATACATATAATATGAATATATGATGTATAAATAATATATAATATATCTAAGTGGAATGCGTAAAATATGAATTCTTTATTTTATAATAAAATAATAAATAAAAGTTTTAAGTTTTAATTTTTAGTAGATCTATTTGGGCTTTCTAATTGGGTTAAGCCTAAAAAGAATCGTAGAATGGTCCAAAGTCTACAAACTGTATTAGAAATCAAGGTTTTTAAAATTGAACCGGTCAGGGCTCCGGTTACCGATTCGAACAGTTAATCAGCTGATTCAGTGGTTTGCTGACCAAAATGAACGATTTTGGGGAAAAACAGAACCAGTCATCCTGGTTTTTCCAGTCCGACTATCTGGTCCAGTCTGATTTTGAAAAACCATAAAAAAATGATTTGGTTTAGAAAATTTGCAAATTGTAATTTACTAGTTTGGTCTGAGATCTTCTCCAAACTGCATCGAACCAGACCGTTAACACCCCTAGGCTAAAATAGGCCAAAAAGGAAATAGACATTTACAAATAAGTTCAAAATTTGAAATTCTCAAATGTAAATTTCTCAAAATTTGAACTTATTCTCAGAGTAAATACTTATTTAGGACTCATTTTTCAAATAAAAAAAGTGACCATTGATAAAGTACTGCGCCTATCGGCCCAATATAAGTGTTTATTTGAATAAATACTTAATTTTTAGGGAAAATAACTATTCAGCACATACACCCTAAGAATTTTTAGCTTCACCAGTTGGGATAGGTGCCAGTTTAGAAATTGATGCCAATACACATGTTATATAGGATTATAGTGAAATTCAGAATTCTAGATTGTTGTACAGTATACTTTTCCGTATTTTTTATCACTCAGACTTAAATTGGTTCTCTTCAATTAACTGAATAGTGCCAACTAAAACCACAGGACAGCTCCATAATTTTTTCCTCAAGACTGAATATGTAGCGAATGAAAAATACATATATTTCTTTGTGGATTTTCTACCAAAAAAATCTGTAAAAGAATAAAGCATAGGAATATTAGCTTCAATTGTGTGGAGGAGTCGATGGAATTGCTGAATTGCAATTTGTTTTAATAACTTGTAGGGCCATAAGGCCATTGAGTTGAAGGCTTTGCCACGCTTTTAGTTGCCAAGGGATCGCCCTTTGGCTTTTATCTATCGAACTGATGAATGAGTTCATGAAATTGAACTAGGAACATTTTTTGGAAGAACAATTTACCTGTAAAGCATAAAGCAATTTCATCTGGCTCCAGCTCAATCCAACTCATCCAATCTAGTTTTTAAAAACATTATGCTGAGGAATCGGGAATCAACTCCTGAAATTATGTGGTTTAGATATAAGACCAAAATCCAGATTTTAGTTTGTCCACTTCAAATATAAACGGAAAATAAAATAATCCCATCATCATGTATTCTTGCCCAATTTATCAATCACTTCGATTCCAGGTAACGCAGCTTTCGGGGCTTGTGTCGTATTCTTTTCTAGAAAATGATTCTATATGCTATAATAAAGTTACTTTAAGATAGTGGTGGCAATTGGGTAGATTGAGTTGGGTTTGGTTTGGGTTGAGTTTTAATTCAACCCATTTAACTCGTCAAACTCGTTAATGACCCAGTTATATAAAATTAAATGCGTTGGGTTCAACCCAAATCTGTTTTAATCCAATTTAATTCGTCAAAATCCATTAATCTTATATTTATGTAGTTAAAATAAAAAATTAACTCCTTTTAAAGAAATAAGTTAGTCATAACTTAGTGGTAATAGTAGTTGCTATTTACACAAGTGGTGAAGGTTCTAATCACGTTACATGCATGTTATTTCTATACAAGCAGCAAAGTCATTTAACTATGTTCGGGTTTCAGATTTGACGAACCACATAGGTTCAAACCGATCAGACCAACTTGAACTAACTAATTGGATTGTCTCCGAGGTAATCACATCAAGTTCAAGAGTTGTTGAACTGTTTAGATCCGGATCAGTCCGGTCGGACTAGGCCCTGCCCGAACTGGTTCAGTCTGGTTGGACAAGACCCAACTGGACCGGGACAGTTCAGTTCGATGGAATCAGACCGGTTCAGTCAATGGTGGATTGACTTGGGTTTGTGCACGGGTTTGGGGCTGAACCGATTGGCCCGAAGCGGTTCAAAAAAAGTAAAGCGGACCGGGCCGGATTCGGGTCGGGTTGTACGGATATGAACCAAACAGGACGATCCAACCCGAGCAAAGAAAGTGAAGTGGTTCAGGGTTCCGACCCGCCGGTCTGACCCATTTCGGATTTGGGTTGACCTGAATCAACTTGTGCTGGGTCGAGCCGAATGCATGAATAATGGTTGGATCGGACGACCCAAACCGGGCAAAGCCAAGCTGTACCAAGCCATCCCATCCATGGTCTATTTCGGATTCAGGTCGACCCAGATCTATATATGTTGGATTGGGTCAGACCGTGTTGAATTGGTCCGGACTTGGGTCAAATTGATTTGGATTTATGTTGGGTGAAGTGTGTTGATTCAAGACAAAACTAAATTTAGTCAATAATTAATAGAAAATTAATGCATTAATCATAAATTATTTAATTCAAATGAAGAAAATAAAAAAAAGGCTAAGGAATTAATACTAATGTCCGTAATGGTTAATCCAACGGTTATCCACAACCCAACCCATTTAAATTGGTGGGTTGGGTGACGGGTTAATTACACAACCCGTCAAGTAAATGGGCGGGTTGTGCGGGTTAGATACTGGGTGGGTTGGGCGAATTCAACGGGTTGGGTGAAAAATTGCCACCCCTACTTTCAGAGCAGGTGGTTACCAAAGTGAGTAGAGCAACTTTGTCTGGCACTCCTAACGCGAGTCTGGGTCTCCTAATCACGATACATTGCTGGCCATGGGCATTTAGTTTTAAAGTACAACCGTAATCCGGCTGCTCCCTGCTGGATATGATCTGGTTGCCAGCAACGATGAGAACTGGGTTCCTGAAAGAGAGGAGTCATAGATCCCAGGGTGGCTCACCCGGCGAGGATACTCCAATGGCTAAATTAGAGCACAGTGGTAATAGAGAACTTGAAGATGATAGCAGTGAGAGAGCTAGAGAGCGAAGATTACACACACAAAAATAAGAATAGAATGTACCTCGCCCCTAGGGTCCATGCGAGTTGGTGGAATAGTTACCGGATCCCAACTATAACGGGACTTGCTTGCGTGTTAAGTGGGCGAAACGCCGTCAAACGGTAATACTATCCCATTCCGTCAAACGGTAATACTGTCACACGCCATCAAATGGTAATACTGTCACATGCCGTCAAACGGTAATACTGTCCCTTCCTGTTAGAACCGGGGAGTTGGTGAGCTAATATAGCCGTTACAAGTCACAATCCCGTAAAATGCGGGGTACGGTGGTGAGCTCCTCGAGGTTGTCAGGTTGGCGCCTGTGTCAAGCTGCCAAGTCGGTGCTTGGGCCAGGCCGCTAGCAAGTGCCAGGGCCAGGTCACGCCAGGGCCAGGCTGCCAGCTCGTCCTAGGTTCAGGTCGCGCCAGGGCTAGGCTGCCAGCTCGTGCCAGGGCCAGGTCGCGCCAGGGCCAGGCTGCCAGCTCGTGCCTGTGCCAAGTTGCGCCTGTGCCAGGCTACCTAGTGGGACACCATCAACTTAGCAAAGGCAAGTTGTCGTCCGGGTGTCACCCAGTTGTTTTGAGGTGCCATGCTACATGAGGCTGAGCTACTTGTGGTGAGCTGCCTAGTGGCGAGTTGCCTGTGGCAAGCTGCCTAGTTGTCAAGAGGCTGTACTTAGTTGCCAAGAGGCTGTCAGGTGTCATAATGTCATTGGAGGGTCAAATCTGCCCTCATCATTTGCCCCCCACTCCCGAGCTGAAAGTAACTCGGCGAAGGGAGTAGATTTCTCCTTTTGGCCTGTAAGTCGACGAGCTCGTAAACGCTGATTCAGTTTCTTAGGCTCTGTGAACTGCTTGGAAGAGAGCTGCCCGTAAGGTGCTGAGGTCTCTACCAGTTTGGTACTTTAGCCCTTACGCTCTAAGAGCGACTTATGGTCCACTCTTGTTGACTTT